CAGTACTCTTTCCTGCCATGGCAGGGGGTCGGACTAAATGATCTTCTCAGGTCCCTTCCGACCCTAGAAACTATGAAACTATGAAATATTTCCACTTCCTGATGAAATTCCTCTGAATGCATTAATTAGACTACTGGATTCCAGTGTATCTGCAACATAAAATCACAAACCTCCTAAAATATAATTATTAAAATAATCAGAATAGTAATTTAACTGTAGAAATAAACATACCTTCACTATGAGCCTTGCGCTAGCCTAAACCAGTGCAACACTGAAATGGCCAACTTGATGATGTAGAACTTGTGTATTGCCCTCTGTGCATGCTTTGGGGGATGATCATCAGGAATCAGTTAAAATGAACACTTGAGTCAACAATCCTGGTTTGGGAAAGCTTCCCAGCTATTCCCATTTAAATCCATATGGCTTTGTCTGGCAGAGGATGGTTATTTTGTCATGTTTCATCAGGTACAATGATCACTCATTTCTAAGCTGTTTTTAGTAATTTTGGATTCTGAGACATGTTTCTCCCTCAAAGTAAAATTCTGCTCTGAAAAACATCTCTATAGGAATAACATTGGTGGATTCTGTGGTTAATCCCTCAGCAACCTAGATGATAACTCCTTGATTTTAAGTATACTGTTTGGTACTCCACTGGTGGTCATGACCTGACTGTAGTGTAAGTTAGGCATGTTTCAAGCATGGCAAGTGGCTCAAACCTCTCCAAAGACTAAAGGTGCTTCCCCAGCACCAAACTGAATTGCTACTGAGCTTAGGCAGAAGTTAGGCACCCAGTTGATCAGCCTGGATCATTTCTGAACATTCTCTGAAGCCCAAGGTCAGGCACACAAGGAACTTTCCAGTCCATTTTGGAGGCACCACCTCAACTAGTAGTTTATGGATTAGACCCAATCCAGATCAGAGAGAAGTTAGCCACCAAAATTCTGCCCATGTGCTGCTTAGGCAATTAAGAAGCCACTGGATTAGTTCCTCAGTGAGCATTTCTGTAATAGCACATAGTCCCCCTACAGGAATAATTCTTCTGTGGTGGTAGCAAGTAGAACACAAGCAGACATGACTATTAATACACACAGCACATACCTGTGGAATCCCTACTTGAAGTTAAACTGAGACTAAACCAGAACATATAAATCCCACTGGCATTTGTCCTGTATTGTAGCATTATACAGTTTCCACATAGATTCCCTTAAAATGGCTTAAGTCAAAGTAACAATGCAGTTCTCAGACTAGAACTGAGCATCCTAGTCAACAGTATAGTGGAGATGCTTCAGATTCCTAAGCTAGAGTACTCTACCTGTGAGTATATGAGACCACTACTGGTTTCATAACAATTATTTTATTTAAAAGCATGTATTTAGTAAGGTTTAGTATTTACAAATCATTCCCATGTAAATGACAGAAATCAATCATGCAGATGCAAGACGAACACATCCAGGGAGGTGATGCTTCCCCTCTATGCGGCACTGGTCAGGCTGCAGTTGGAGTATTGCAATCAGTTTTGGGCACCGCACTTCAAGAGGGATACAGAGAATCTTGAGAGGGTTCAGAGGAGGCCACTCGTAGGGTCAGAGGCCTGCAGGCAAGGCCCTATGAGGAGAGACTGAGGGACCTAGATCTCTTCAGCCTTCGCAGCTAGGTCAGCTACCTGCTCATTTCAGCCCTTATTCTGCAGCAATCTTTTTAAGTAACAGGGGCTAGAAACTAGGGCTGCACAAAATGTCAATGGGTGCTTTGTTATGAAGCAGTTTCGACTCGTTTTGAGCCTGAAAGAATGAAATTGAAATGAAACAAAAGCTTTCAAAACAGCTTCGAAACAAGGGCACTTGAAATGTTTCAAAAGTTTCAAAATGTTTCAAATTTCGAAGCTGGCTTGCTTGCAGCTAAACAGAAACTAAGGAAAGGCAGGGGTAAGAGGAGGGAAGGACTGCTCTGATATTGATAGCTAGCTACCAATTCAATTCCACAGCTCTCTGATCACTTCCTCCAGCTCTCTGATCATTTCCCAAGCTCTTCCCAGGGGGCAGGGGCCCCCCGATCTGCGTGCAGGGTTTCATCAAGCTCCTGCTGCAGGCTGGGGCCAGTGGCAGCTGCTCGGTGCTGCCGATGGCCCCAGCCTGCAGCAGCAGCCTGCTGAAACCCAGTGTGCAGATCCAGGGGCCCACACCCCCTGGGAAGAGCTGGGGGAATGATTAGAGAGCTGGGGAATCAAATTGGGAGCTGGCAAATTGAATTGGGGGCTGGGGAATTGAACCAGAGGCTGGGGAATCAAACAGGGAACTGAGGAATTGAACCGGGAGCTGGGAAATTGAACCAGGAGCTTGGGAAACAAACTGCTGGCCAGGGAATCAAACAGGGAGCTGGGGAATTCAACCAGGGGCTGGGGAATGAAACGGTGTGGGGGGCAGGGAATGTTTTCAGGTCTCTGAACTTTCCCCCAGTTTCTGGTTCAATTCTCCAGCTCCCCAATCTTTCTCCCAGCTCTCTGATTGCATCCTCTAGCTCTTCCCGAGGGGTGCAGGCCCCTGGATGATGCAGGATGACAGCAGCTGGGGATGGTGGCAGCTCTGGGCTATTTCCCCAGCCAGCAGCAGCATCCTGCTGAAACCCTGTGCACAGATCTGGGGGCCATGGCCCCTGGGAAGAGTGGCGGGAACTCATCAGAGAGCTAGGGAGTGAACCGGGAGCTCTGGCTGACACGTGGAGCTGCCCCAGGTTTGGGACAGTAGGCAGCACCCTGCCAAGCTGCAATGCATCCAAGCAATGGTGCAGCTGCTGCATGGGTGCCAGGCAGGAGGGCAATCCCTGCTGCTCAGCACTTTGGTGGTGGGCTCTGTCATGAGCACCCAAGGGCCCCAATCACCACTGCCAGAGACAGTGAGTGTGAGGCTTTTTTGTTGGTTTTTTTTTAAGGCTCCCTACTCACCGGCTGTGAAGTATGTGGATGACAGCATGCTGGTGCTGGTGGCTGGGGCCAGAGCCAGCACCCGAGTCTGCCTGGTGCAGCCTGCACTGAGTGCTGGGAAGAGCCCAGTGCTGGCATTGGCTCCAGTCGGCAGCAGCAGCCTGCTGTCATCCTGCACGCCAGTCCAGGGGCCCACACCCCCTGGGAGGGCTGCAAGGCTGTGCCAGACTCCTCCCGGGGGTAGTGGGACCCTGAATCTACATGCAGGATGACAGCAGGCTGCCGCTGCCAGCAAGTGATATTAGTTTTGCTTTCATAGTTTCATAGTTAGTAGGGTCGGAAGGGACC